ATGGAGCTTCGTATATTTCATTTGTGTGGGATGGAAGCACTCCAGGACAATTCTCTCTACACTTTGCTAATAAACTTCCTCAAATATGTTCCTACCTCTGGATGGTACACAGGATGCTATCCTAAATAAGTTTGAGAGGGACAATCTGTTTCTGCAAAAACAAGGAGTCCCGTGGCACTTTAATAATGCATCTGATGCAGCCCACAAAGCTTATGCCCAAATAACTTTGTTAGTCTTTAAAGTATCTTGTTGTTTTATCATAAATAAAGTGATTGTCATTAAAATCTTTACATTCTTTCCTAGGTTTCAATGGTATTCCATGTAACTCAGCATACCATAAACACCATATTAAAATCAGTTATTTGCAAGAGGCAATTATAAAGAAGTTAGTAGAGATCACTTCAGCTTTACGTGATAACTTGCTTTTTTTACTTCAAAATACTCCAATCCTGGCTCTTATGATCAAGTCGCTAAATAGCTCCTTACTTACATACAGTGGAATTGAACAAACATAATTAAATACATATTACCAGGATAGCCATTCAGCTTTCCTTGTGCAATAGGATTTGTATCATTGGGCTTGGATAGTGCACAAAATATATTTGTAATTCTCGCCTTTGATGTACAGTCAAGATTTTTAATCACAAGTAGACAAGCTGCATTTCATATATAATTTTGTTTGGATATTGCAATAATGCAAATGCAGAGAAAATATGACTTTTTAGTGAATGAACACCTTGAAGAAAAAGAAGTTTGTTAGTAAAATGGAGTCTTCATTAAAAAATGCTTTAAATCTCCCATGAAACATTGGGACAATTACATACACTTTTACCAGTAAGAAGGTTAACAATTTGATTATGTTCCATCATTCCATGTGCTCTGTTTACTTGGATCTTCACGTCACAACCTCTCCAACATTTGACATCCAAGAACAGGTGTTCAGATTTAATTTCAAGTGAGAAATGCAGATTTTTGGCATGGGAAAACAGTTTTACAAATGGAAAGACTAGAATCGAGAGATTTCTTGATCTGTTTCTCTGTTTACTGGCCGCAAGATCGCATTAATTATGCTATGTAGAGATGTTAACTCAATGGTGGATGGATATGATTTAAATGTGAGACGATGAGTCAAGTCAGCATTACACACACAAAGAGATCCCACTGTAGTCCTACAGTTCTGTTCTCATTGAAGTGTATGGCACACCTCCCATTTATGTCAAAGGGAAGAGCGAGGCCAATGCTGTGCTCTTCTGAAAAACCCACCTAAATGGTTTAGGATGTTATAGCTTGAGACATTTCTGCTTTCTTGCCTTGTCACAATCCTGTAGGTGTGGTCAGTGGGAGCGACTGAATGAGACTCGCTGAGTTTAGAGATTGGACTGGGGGTATCAGCAGGGCATTTTCTTTGCAGGCCTCTGGCCTCCAGAACTTAATCTCCTCTGTCTGCCAGAGCCTGGATTTGTTGACCTAGGTGCCCCACAAAGCTACTCTTATCCCAGCAGGGACCTGGGATGGCAGTACGCTGTGGGGAATTAGGGCAAATTTAAGAATGTATAATAATTGATTGACAAGTAATTATTAGAATTCTATATGCATGACCTATATTATAAAATCCTTCAGGCTATGTATGTGAATCACATTTTAGCCCCAGGAGGCATGCATGCTGTCAGAGAAAAATGAAAGTAGGAGGGCAAAAAACCCAAACCAAAACAAAAACCACAGCATGGTAAAATGGCAAGGTTCAAGAGGTTATTTAAGTCAACTGGGTATTATTTTGAAAATGGAAAGAACGAGAAAGGTCTGTTTAACTGGATAGGGCACAGGACTGAGTCAGGAGACCTGGGTCCTATTCCAAGCTCTGCCTCTGACCCAATGTGTGACCTTAGGCAGAACATTTCACTCCTCTTTCTTTGGTTCTCCTCCCACTCTTCCCTGTCTTTTCTATTTAGACTGCAAACTCTTTGGGATAGTGATTCTCTCTCACCATATTTTTTTACAGGCCTACCACAATGGGGTGTGACTGGGGTTGGGGTCTGAGGGTGATACTGAAAATCTAATAACAGTAATACTAGTAATCTAGTATTGTAATAAGTAGTGCCCAAAGCAGAAATTACCTCCAGCAGTACTGCAATGCTACATCTGGCACTGTGGCCACACTGTTATTTTTAGGCCCCGTTTCAGCAGAGTTAATGTATCTATGTCTATTTGAGCTGGGAATCACAGTCATAACCAATGTTGTTTCATCCCAGTGCACCAAAGCCTTTACTCCTGAAACATACCAAAAACCTGGAGGAGTTCTTGTGTATGAACTGAAGTCTCTTCTGCACTTTACAACAGAAGAGTGAGAATGCTTTTTCTTGGTTTTATCCCCCTTTACTATTTGAGTTTAGCTTTGCACACATCAATTAGCATTCTAATTGTAAACACTTTTTATTGTGGCCCATTTAACACTAATAGGAAAAGACCATTTGAGAGCATAACACTATCAGAAGTCCTGCTAACACTTAAAAAAGTGGAATCAAGAATGGAGTATCAATTATGTTGCTATCAATAGCACTCACCTTCCCACCCTCATCAAATTTTCCCACATGACAAAACCATTCTCGGGAGCAGAACCAGGTAGGCATGATCACAGTGGGTCCATGGGAGGTAAACACCTATGGGAAAAAGGTGATAAGAAATAGCCTTAGTGAATAGTTCCTAACAAATATACTCTTTAATTAGGTTAGACTTAGATTTATCTTAGACTTTAAACACATCAGAACCCCCAAGTGACTTCACTGACACTCTTCATGTATTTAAATTTCAGCTCTTGCACAAATTTTTAATCTCTCAGATCATGATCCTGCAAACCAAGTATTTCCTGCTTCATATACTGTAGCACACTTACTGTTCCTATTAGTCACAACAACCTTTACAGTAAATCCAAAGATCTTGAAACTGAAGTTTTGAGAGATCCACCACAACTGAAAGTTCTACTAATTTTACTAAAAATGCTCATCTTAATAATGAATGAAAGTACACACATAATGGAAAGTCCGTGTCCAATTCTAGGGCTTGTGTGTGCATGAGAAAGTACAAAATTACAAACTGATCTATTTTCTATGATTTTTGTGAAAGGCAAGAAAATAAAATTGTAGAAAATGAAGTACAGCTTAATTTTAAACTAGAACAATATGTATATAGTACTTAATACTACCTGGTTAAACTAAAAGTCTTGGAAAGAAACATATGATTTGGCAGACAACATAAATGTAGTTATTAATTTTTGAATCCTCACAGTTTCAATGACTAGCACCAACACAGCCAGGAACTGTGCATAATCAACCTTGGCAGCCTTAAACAAACATGTCATAAACCCAACTACGAAATAAACCAGAATATCCGGATTATGTCAAACAAACAAAATATCACTTTTATTACAAGGAAAAATATCAAGCAAATCAGGAAACTGAATCTGTCAAACAGAAATCTGAAGTTAAAAAGGCATATTGTATCCAGCTTCAAAGAAAGTTATCTGTACAAGCAAGCTTTTGGAAACAGAATTTTTTTTTTGCCAGTTTCAAACACTGATGAAAATATAGTGGTTTCCTTAGGAGATCATTTCACAGTATACTACAGATGCAACAATTAATATTATTCACCTCTAAAATTCTTCAACTTTACTGCATAAATGTAGTCTTCTAAGTCCATAGTTAGACATCTAATTTCAAAGGTGCCCTTTTTAATATGATCTGAGATTGCCTGTGATACCATCTACATTGTGTTAGTCGTTAAGGTGCTCTTGGACTATTCGTTGTTTTTTACATTTTTCCAGTTACAGACTGACTCGGCTACCCTTCTGAAGCTTTTGAGATTGCCCAGTTCCTCAGGCCACTTTTCCCTGCTTAGCTGGATAAACAGGGATTTAGGGCCTTAACTTTAGGCCCATGGATTCAAATCTTTTAAACTGAATTCCATATTGAGGCACCTAGGGATGGTACTTTCAAAAACATTTTGAGTTTGGAACACAAGTCACACTATTGACAAGTTACTGCAATGTTAATTTCTTGCTCGGGTGTGAAAAACCACCCTCCCCCTCTCACCCCAACACAGCAATTTACAGCAAGTTACGGTGCTGTTACCTACTCCCCTTGTGTAGGTGGTTTTGCTGTATTAAAGCACCTGGTGTGGCAGTTTAAATTTTAATGTGTAGACAAAGCCTAAATCAGTAGGAATTGTGCTAAGTCACTGAAGCAGACTTCAAAATCCATCACTAAATAGAAGTGACCTGTGTTTCAGAGGCGCCTAAGCACCAGCCACTCAGTGAAAACACAGGGGCTGAAGGGCAATCAGAACCTCTGAAAATCAGACTACTTTTATTTAAGTGCCTAAATATGGATTTAGGTTCCTAATCTTTGGTGCCTAACTTTAGAAACATACATTGGAAAATCATGGCTTATCTGTATAAGAGTGTAATATGCTGCCGATATTTTCCCGTGAAACAACCTCTTAGCAAGTGTTGACTCTGATGGGAGTCACTGATCCTGGCATACTAGCAGGTGTTGATTTCCTGTGACTTTTCATCTTGGAGAAGAGGAGACTAAGGGAGGATATGATAGAGGAATATAAAATCATGAATGGTGTGGAGAAAGTGAATAAGAAAAAGCTATTTACTTGTTCCCATAATATAAGAACTAGGGGCCACCAAATGAAACTAATGGGATGCAGGTTTAAAACAAATAAAAGGAAGTTCTTCTTCACACAGCACATACTCAACCTGTGGAACTCCTTGCCTGAGGAGGATGTGAAGGCTAGGACTATAACAGAGTTTAAAAGAGAACTAGATAAATTCACAGAGGTCAAGTCCATTAGTGGCTATTAGCCAGGATGGGGAAGGAATATTGTCCCTAGCTTCTGTTTGTCAGAGGGTGGAGATGGATGGCAGGAGAGAGATCGCTTGATCATTACCTGTTCAATTCACTCCCCCTGGGACACCTGGCATTGGCCACTGTGGGCAGACAGGATACTGGGCTGGATGGACCCTTGGTCCGACCCAGTCTGGCCGTTCTTATGTTCGTATGTGAATTTATACGGGTATTCAGGCAACATTTGAACCAGTGTTCTTTATTTCTCTTTGCAGATGAAAATAATTATTGCCTAGTTAGTTTGAGGACAAGGCTAAAATTAATCTAAGGGTGACTATGCTGACGTGAGCAATACCCAGTCATGCCAATAAAGTTATAGGGAAAACAATGGTGAGCGAGTTAGATGAAGACTATGAATCTTTTTATAACCTTGGTCTTTACAACATCCTCTGGCAAAGAGTTCCATAGGTTAACTGTATGAAGAAACACTTCCTTTTATTTGTTTTAAACCTGTTGCCTATAAATTTCACTTTGTGAGCCCTAGTTCTTGTGCTATCTTATTCACTTTCTCCACACCAGTCATGATTTTACAGACCTTTATCATGTTCCCCTTAGTCATCTCTTTTCCAAGCAGAAAATTCTCAGTCTTATTAATCTCCTCATATGGCAGCTCTTCCATAGTCCTAATTATTTTTGTTGTCCTGTATTCAAGAATTTAGGAATATAAAATCCCATGTAATTGGTTAACCATTTAAATGTTCATTTTAACTGGTTAACTGACGTAAAGGGGAAGCAGATGGGAAGGCAGCTCCTGCCCAGCCGTGCTGGAATGATCCCTTTCCCCACCCATAATCCATATCCAATTAACTATGAACCTCCCTATTCAAGATGTGGGCATACTATGGATTTGTTTAGAGGCAATATGATACCTTATTCTCTATCCCTCTCTTAATAATTGCCAACATTTTTAGCTTTTTTGACTACTGATGTACACTTACTGGATGTTTTCAGAGAACTATACTCCATGAATACAAAACCTCTTTCTTGAGAGGTAACAGCTAATTTAGGCCTCATCATTTTATATGTAGGGCTCGACAAATCCATGTATCTACTCGCCCGTGGTGAGCAGATTTCAGCCGGTCGCCCCATTCACTAGCGGCGCGCGCATGCATAGTGCGGGTCTGGCGCATGCACGGTGCGGGGCTGGCGAGTGGATTTCTCCACGGTTTGTTGAGCCCAGTTTATATGTATAGTTGGGATTATGTTTTCCAATCTGCATTACTTTGCATTTATCAACACTGAATTTCGCCTGCTATTTTATTTCCTGCTCACCCAGTTTTGTGATGTCTCTTTTAGCTCTTTACAGTCTGATTTGGATTTAATTATCTCAAATATTTTTGTATTGTGTGTAAATTTTACCACCTCCCAGTTCATCCCTTTTTCCTGATCATTTTGAAAATTTTGAATAAGACTGGTCACAGTACAGACCCCTGGGGGACATGCCACTACTTACCTTTGAAAACTGACCATATTTTTAATTACTGGTCCATGAGAGGACCTTCCCCCATATCTCATGGCAGCTACTTTCCTGAAGAGCTTTGATGAGAGGTCTTGTTAAAGGCTCTCTGAAAATGTAAGTACACATATGCACTGGATCACCCTTATCCACATGCTTGTTGACCCAAAGAATTCTAGTAGTAGGTAAGGCAGGATTTCAATTTACAAAACCACATTGACTCTTCCCCAATAAATCATGCTCATTTCTGTATCTGATAATTCTGTTCTTTGCAATAGTTTCAACCAATTTGCCCTGTGCTGATGTTAGGCTTAACTGCCTGTTATTACTGGGATAGCCTTTGGAACACTCCCCTTTTTTTATTGGCATCATATTAGCCATCCTCCACTCATGTTGTACTGAAACTGATTTAAATGATATATTTGGCTATGTCTACACTAGCTCGTTAATTCGAGCTAGGAAGGCAAATCAGGGAACCGGGGTTGCAAATGAAGCCCGGGATTTAAATATCCCGGGCTTTATTTGCATGTTCCCGTCCGGCCGCCATTTTTAAATCCCCCTTAGTCTGAACGAACTGCCCGTGGCTACACGAGGCAGTTTAAAGTTAATTCGAACTAAGTCCTTAGTTTGGATTAACTGTTACTCCTCATTCCATTGATATACCCTTTGGGTGTGTCTATGCATTATTATTCTGAAATAACTATGAGCATCTACACAGTAATTCCATTATTTCAAAATTATTTTGAAATAACGGGAGGCTTATTCCGACTTCTGTAAACCTCATTCTATGAAGAATAGGTATTTTGAAATAAGGTGTGTGTAGATACTCTACTACTGCTATTTCGAAATAGTCCCTCACCAGGGCCATTTTAAGTTATTCCTCCAGGAGCTCTAAATAGAGACAGCACGTCTACATTAGGGAAGCCTGCCTCGGACTCCTTTTGAGGCTCCCCTGCAGTGTAGATGTGCTATTTTGAAATAAGCTACTTCAGAATAACTATTCCGGAATAGCTTATTCTGAAATAACTGTGCAGCGTAGACGTAGCCTTACAGACCACAGTTAGTAGCTCCATAATGCAGAATACCTTTTGACAGAGATATGTAATTAGCTTGATGAAAACAACAAAGCTAGTTTAACTGAAAATTATAGAGCACACGGTTCAAATAACATTATATAAATAAAAACCATGTTAGTACAATATGAAACTACAAAAGTTTGCCATAACCCAAAACATTCTATTCCCGTGCTTTTAAGAGCTACAAGCTGAATATGTGACATCAAACCAAATGACAG